CCTCTTACTAAAAAATATTGAAGTAAGGATTAAGTATAGAAAAGGTTGGTGTGGAATAGATTCCTAAAACCCGTATTTTACGGGTCATGACAGCTACTTGTTATTATTATTTTTTTATCATTATTGTTATTATTTAAATCATCATTATTATTATTTAAATAATGTTGTTAACTTCAGAATTTTTGGAAAACTTAGATAAATTCAATCATGCTCTTGTAACCATTCATAACCCTTTGTTAAAAATATTTGTCAGATATAAATAATTTTACTTGATACATAAAAAATTTAAGAAGTAAAATTGACAAAACTTTATTTATAATTTATTGTTAAATTCAAAAACTTAAAAAGCACAATAAGATAGACAATAAAATTTATCTACAATTATTTATGTCTATTTCTATATGATGCTCAACCAACCTATTACAAATGACCAAATAAAAGATAAATAAAACCACATAAACAAACTAAACAATAACAATCTAATTGTTAAATCATATTTTATAATGGATGGCTTCAACTTATTTTATTATAACAATTGAAATTTAAAAAATGTCATTACAAAAACTAAATCACAAAAGAGTTAAAACATGCACTATATAGATATTATGTGCATAAAATATATAAAGATATTATATTATTTTATTATGTTATATTATTAAAGATATTATTTTATGTTATTATATTATTAAAGATATTTTATTATGTTATTATATTATATTAGATATTATATTATGTTATTATGTTATATTATTAAAGATATTATGTTATTATATTATATTATTAAAGATATTATGTTAAACTTAAAAAAAAATTGTTGAACCTACCATTAATACACCATCATATTCCGTTTCAGAATACCTTTTAAAAATTATCGCAAAACAAAATACTTTTTATACCATATTAATAATATTTTTTGCCCTAACTAAAATAAACACCAAGTGTTAAGATGAAATTAAATCAAATGATAAAAAACACATTCCAATAAAATACACTGAGTTTAGATAATACAATTTTACTTGAACTTATTCTTTTTACTTCTTAAAAAGTGTTACTTTTTCTGCAATGATGAAATAAAAAATTTAAATAACTCTAAATATATCTTATAATAACTCTAAATATTATAAAATTATAAAATAAAATATAAGGTATATTTGCTTTCTCTTCATATTTTATGATTTCCTCATAATAGCAAACCTATAACTTACAAGTAATATGCCAATGGTAGCTATGCGTATTTTATTAACATCAAGAATGTTTTTCATGTTGATATATAAGAAATTACACATTAAAATAGTAACTTTTCTTGAACTTATTTAAAAAAATCTATTTTACTGATAACTCATTCATGGTCTACTTAAATACATGGCTTCTATTCTGTTTAAATTGAAAAAAAAATAGAATGCCAGTTAAAAAAACAAATGGCTCTCTTTCTGATATTATTAAAATTAATATTTGAAATAAGAGTGTGTATAATTTTTTTCCCCCAAACTTCTCTACAACCATGAACTAACTTTGCTGATTTATGGCGTTGCATTTGAGACTCATAAACAACATCAAATACACAATCTAGCATAGCAAAACTGTCACAGACATATTTTAAAAGTGGTAATGATGGAATTGTTAGCCCACCTCTGGACAATTTATTTAGATAATTATAATCTTTTGTCTCCTGTTTACAATTTTGAGTACAAAGCAATTTGCAACATACTTTAGATGTTTAATCTTAATCAGTTTTTAGCAATAAAACTAGCAATATAACTGGCAACTTAACGAAAATTATCTGATTAAATCACACAATCTAAATCTTTTTCTTTGATCTGATCCATCAATAGTCTAGCATGTTGTATACCTTCAACAGCATTAATATCATTTTCAAAAAATTTGAATTCCTCCCTTTATTAAACTTTTAATTTGGATTATCTTCTTACTATAAATAATGTTTTTTAAACTGACAAGAAACACCTGCCACCACTTATTTGAGGTTTTTTATTTAACTAAACACTTCAAAATAAATTTATAATTATCTCTCTACAGATCTTCTATTAACAAAGTTTCACATAATAAAGTTCTTTGTATTACTCACGGGTATCCTGAAGGTGACCTAAGACTTTATATCACATCCCATGAACAATTTTATTTGATTTTGAAAGTAGTCCATTTGTACATTTCAAAACTTTCTACATTTAAATCCTTTTATGGTAGCTTTTCTAGAAAACTTAGCACGAAGTTTTATAAATAACGATGTTTTTGTATTAAAATAATATTTTTGCATTGGCCATTATAGTTGTTTACTTTCTGTAATTCCAATAACGCAATTGGCCATACTAATATTTATTAGTTTTCGATTGGCTTATATTTGACGTAAAAAATAATTACTGTTATTACTAAAGACTTTAGTAATAACAGTGAGTATAATAATAAAATTACTGTATTTTTAATTAACAGTTCTAACATATTAAAGCCAATTTAAAAATATAGACACTATATCTCAAGAAAAGAAAAGAAATGCCATACTTTGCTAAAGATCATAAAAAGTTTTTAAAATGCTTTTGCATATGCTGTTTCAAAAAAGGCAATGATTTAAGATGCTTTTAAACCAAAATTTCATGTCCAAAACAACGAAAAAGTTATGGAAATCTTATTAAGAGATTTTTCTATTGAAAACCTTTATATGCCTAAAATCTTATGTTCAAATTGTTGAAAAAATGTGAGTTTAGAAAAAAGCGGATTCAAAAAAAAAAGCGGATTCAAAAAGCTTTTTATTCGCCTCTAGACCTAAGTACAAAGGTAAGTTCAAAGGTAAAAAAAAATGCGTTAATAATTTTTTTTTTTTAATATTTACAAAGTAAATTAATAAAAGTGCATTATTATTTAGGTTTTATCTAATAATTTGAAAGAAAAACTTATAACAAAAGAAATCAAAATACACATGGTCTAGACGATTATTTAAAAAAAGTTGCGCAAATAAAATACTATTTTGTTTTTTATTTTATTTTTGTTTTTAATTTTATTTTGTTTTTAAATTTATTTTGTTTTTAATTTTGCTTTACAAACACATTTTAGAACTTTAAAATATAATAAAAATGAATATGATTTGGAAATTGTATGTAAAAAATAACAATCGGTGTTTTAAACAAACAAAAAAAAAAATAAAGCTTTTAAAGTAAAGCTTTTATTTGTCCTGTGAAAAACTTTGTTAATAATACAGTGAATATCCTAAAGTGAAATAAACCTTATTAACACAAATTTATTGGGAAAAAGATGAAAACCTCAACATTATTGACAAGAATTGAATAATAAAAAAATAATTAAACTGTTTGACGCTTGAAGTTCTAATTATCTTATGACACAATTTCTTATATTTAATCTTAGACTTAACCATATACTTAACTTTTTTGACTGTGAAAGATTTAAAATGGCAATGAACCTTAACAGGATAGTATATTATTATTATTTCAAACTTGTGAAACTTTTGTTTTGCTAAATTTTAAAAATCTGAAATTTAAAATCTTATACATATATTTAAAATAATATTTATGTTATTTTTAAAACAAACAAAACTGAATAATTTTTTATCATGCACAAGCACTGTGAGTTGTTTTTTCTTTGAAAAAATTTAAAAAAACAGTAAAACATAAATTAAGTTTATTTTCATAACTTTACTGACTTAGCTTTTCATAATTTTACTGACTTAGCTTTTCATAACTTTACTGACTGAGCTTTTCATAACTTTACTGACTTGCAAAATTCGTAAACAATAATTAAAGCAAAGTTAAAAATTTGTCAAAATATTAAATCAAAATCGTATAAAAAAAACAGGGGTCAAAAACAACAAGATTTCTATTTATGTAAAAACGCTTTTTTCATAACTAGGTTTTTTTACAAAAAAAAGTTGTTTAAAACAGGTTTTATAAAACATACAATTTGTTATGTAACCATCAATTTGCTCTGCTTCACAATTTACACAATTACAAATTAAACTCTTTTGGTTTTTCACATTAATGTTAAAAGAAAAAAAATATATACTTATTGTCTTATGTTCATCATCTAAATATATGAAGGGTGTTAAAAAGACATTACAGATCAATTTATTCAGTTTATATAGAAAAAAATTTATATTGTAACAAATAAAGTAGTAAATATTTAGTAGCAATAATCTGATTTTTCAAACATTTTTTATAGTAAGCTTGCTTGACAAGAAAATTTGATACAAGCTGTATTTAAAAGTCACTCTTGATTTATGGGTAACGTAGATGTGTGACATATATAGTAATGGTATTTATAATACTTATTTGGTATAAAGATTATAGTCACATACGAACCATATGTGACAACCACCTAAGTGGTATAAATATTATATAAGCCATATGTGACAACCACCTAAGTGGTATAAATATTATAGCCACACATGGCCCACAATTACTCTGTTCTATAAAGTGAGTGTGGCTATCATTTAATGACACATGTTGCCCACATCAAATTTTCTTGTCAGATCCCTAATGGATGGAGATTTGACGAGAAAACTTGCTATATCCTCTGTATATGCCAACATTATACATTACATACATAACCTTAATATGTAAAAACTGATGATGTTTTAGAAACTTCAAGAAACACAAATGAACTAACGTTTGATTAGTGTTTCTTTCTTACTATTATGATCAAAAGAAATAAAACAAATTTCTACATTGACAAAACTAAATGAGTTTATTGTGATATTAATAATAAGAATCTTAAATAGACACATAGCTGTGTAATATAATGAATAGACAGAAACATGTGTACAATATAATAAATCTGAGTTGAAATATAAATAATAATTGTCCAAAAAACAACATTACTGTGATCATAAAAAGAATGCACATAAAAAGTCTGTGTTTAAAGACATAACAAAAAAAATTATGAAGGATATAATTTTAATTTTTTTATAGCTTATAAGTGCTATGTTTTTTAATTTTTTTCGGCTATATTATTTTTACTAATATTTTTATTTTTTATACCTTTATATACATAACATTGTTTTTGTTCTGTATAGCATTTACCACCCAAGTATCTTGTTCTGTTAGTAAATCCATAACCATTTGATGTATTGCAGCTTGACCAGTTGCTCCATTGTAACAAAGAACCTACAGTAACAAAACTTAATTAATAATATACATTAAACCTGATTGGTTAAAAAAATATAGTTTTAAGTAGAAAGAAACAAAAAATCTGTTCAACATTAATTAATACAATGACTAATGAAGTTAATACTTTTTAATACAAGTCATTCTAAAACAAATGTAGTCAAGTTAATATTTTGTAAAAAAAGGCAACAAAATTAATACATGTTAATACAGAATTAATAATTAATTATTTAGTAATACAGTGATAACAAATTTAATACATACTAATACATATGTATAAATATGTAGTAATAATATATTAAAAAAAAAAATGTGCTTAGCAGTATTTTGAATTTAAAAACCTTAATAAACTATTAAAAAAAATTGTTTAACTATTTTGTTATAATAACATAATTTAATTTTACCTTTAGTTTTAAATGAAAAAACATTTACAATTTTCTTTTATAAATTAATGAAGACACCAAAGTTTTGTCTGATAAAAGCAACATTGCTTACTTATAAATCATAAATAAAACAACCGTTTGCATGAAATGATGGAAGAATATTACCTAATAATGTTCTTTTCAATATAAAAAAAAGTGGTACGAATATATTAATTATTTGGTAAACACATTTGGCCTGTGAGATTAGGGACCCACATTTAAACAAATTAACATTTAATTTTAACATTTAAACAAAATTGTATTAATCTTGATTCTTGTGTTTCAAAAAATAAATTAAAAATAAACAATAAATCTTTTTAGTAATTATTAATTTATTACTTATACTGTCTACAAACAAAAATCATTTTACAGTCTTAAAAAAAACTGAGAAACTTGAAATAGCAAATTATTAGTCTATATATATACACTATATATGCATTTAAAAGTATAAAATAAGAATGTTACTTGATAAAACTGCTTGATTGTTAGCAACAAAAACATTTTTTATTGAGCCATTTTGAGAAACATTCCATGGATTTGAAGCGTATAACACTACATTTTTAAAACTTCGAACTTGTGTGTTGATTCCAGATGCAACATATGTGTCATTTACTTTGATTTTAAATGCATAACTTCCATTTATGAAAATTTGACTGATCTCAATTTTTGACCATTGATTTAATGGAAGTGTCGTATTGGTGTAAAATATGAAGTTAGTGTCATTAATTAGGGTTGAAACTTTAAGTACTCCAAGACCATCGAGCCAGACTCCAGTTGTAACATTATCAGAATCAACAATAAAATGAATAACATTGCTTAAGTTACTATTAAATGAATAAGGAATCAAATCAAAGGAAATTAAAAATTCTGTATCCAGTATCGGCATTTCAGTGATATTTTTTGCATTCTCTAAAGGAGTTGGGATGTCCTCTATGACATAATTAATCATCTGACATGAATCTGAAAAAAATATTTAGAGCAGCATATATAAATATTCCTATAGTTTGACATCATAATTTACAATTTGTGGTAAAAATAAGGCTCTTAATGACTCTTTAGCTTTAAAAGTGACAAAATCAAGTGCACTTTTTGTAAAAAACATAAAATTTAATTGAGGAAACTTAAAATTTATTATTTTTAAAAAAAACCTTAAAAAAACAACTTTATAGATTAGAAAGCTTTCATTTTTTTAATAAAACAAAAATAAAATTTTTTTGAATATTTTTATTTTTATACTGATTACAAACATCGACTGATGAAGAACATGCTGCTACATCGACTGACAAATAGGTAGAGCATGCAAGGAGTACATTAAATGACTAACATATGGAATATGCAAGGAGTGTTGCTACATCAACTGATAAATAAGTAGAAGGGCTGGGAGGGTGCAGGAAGGGCTGCTTCATCAACTGAAAAATAGATAGAACATGCAAGGAATGCTACAAAATTGAGTTTGGGATTTCGTTTGGGCAGGTAATCTATCAATTGAATTTTTTTTGTTAAATTTGCAAACTTTTTCCAGTCTTCTAAATTAATTTGAAAAAAAAAAAGTTCACTTTTTATCATAAAAATTAAAGACGACCAAGCCAAAGTATATATATATATATATATATATATATATATATATATATATATATATATATATATATATATATATATATATATATATATATATATATATATATATATATATATATATATATATATATATATATATATATATATATATATATATATATATATATATATATATATATATATATATATATATATATATATATATATATGTATATATATATATATATTTGTATATATATATATTATATATATATATATATATATATATATATATATATATATATATATATATATATATATATATATATATACATATATATATATATTATATATATATATATATATATATATATATATATATATATATATATATATATATAAATATTATAAATATAGTATATATGTAAAATATATATTTATTCTTTACAAAAAATCCTGGTAAAGAATATATTAGCTTAGGCAAAAAAAAAAATATTGAGCCAACCACAAAAAATCTTTTAAACATAAAAAACTCTTAAAAGAGACTATACTGTTAAAATATACTTGGCAACTATAAAAAAAACTATCATTTCAAAATAAAATGGTCTATTCTTAAAACTGCACTTGTCTGTTATATTTCAAAAATGTATATCCTATGTTTGCAAGAAAAATTTAAAATTGTTTTTCCCATTTAGATATAAAAATTACTAAACAAAAAACCTGAATTAATTTCTAAATGCCTTTAAATTTTTAAAATAATTATAAAAAAAAGACCAAATTAAAACTATCCTAATTATAAAGAATTTTATACACTGTTAATTTTTTAAAAGTAGCCTGAAAGGTACCTTGTAGTCTACCCTGTAGAAGGTAGCCTTGAAAGTACCCTGTTACTGCTTGGTTGCAAAACAACTGGAGTTAGAATAAAACAAGTTATAACAATTTCAAACTATAAGTTATAACAATATCCAATTTCTCAATTTCCAAACACTCAAAAATTTTAATGAATACCATAAACAACATCCATAAAAGAAAAAAAAACATACGGAAAGTATTTATGAAGATGTATTAAAACATTTCAAAAATCAACTTGAAAAATTACATGTAAATGAGTTTCTTAATTTACTTGTATCAAAAAACCTTTTAAGTTGCTCAATAAAAAATGGTAAGGAGCCATATAAAGAACTTATAGCTCCTGAAACAAAATCAGAACCTGATCTTTGTATTATCAATCACAAAAAATTTAAACCGTAGAATCTGTAATTAAAATTTTGAACTACGAATTAAAAAACTTAAAAAGCAGTGAAATTAGTCTTTCAATTTCTAAAAGAGGAGTTACTGGAGTTCAGGAAAATTATTGTCGTTTTAATGGATAAGCTAGAAGTTAAATCAACATTGACTGATTTAAAATCAACTCAAAACTTAAACTTTTTAAACGTTATTGATTTTAATAGCCCATTAAACCAAAACTTAGTTAATTTACCAAAAGCTAAAACCATTAATGCCGGCAACAAGTAAGTGGTATTAAAATAATTGATAGTAAAAGTACAGAAATTAAAGACCGTTTAAATAATGACATAGCAGATGTTTGCCGCCAATTAAACATTAAATATTTAAGTTTTAAAAAATTTAATATTCCTGAACTAGCTGTATCCTCAAACTCAAACAATAAAAAAAAATGCGTAATTCGATAAATAATTTTTAAAATGTAACAAACCAACTCATCTCAATCAGAAAAAATTATCAGTCAGACTTTTTAAAGTATGAAATTCTTTCAACAAATGTTTTTGGGTTTTCGCTTTCAATGAAGATGTTTTAACTTTCAACTTTCAACAAATGGTGTTGTTTCGACTTCAAGTTCCCTTACTACAAAAGCGGTTGGAAATGTAAAAAAAAACAACAAAAAATCAAATAAAAAAAGTAAACAATGACACTAAAATAATCAATCCATTGTGATAACCAAACAAATGAATATAAATGGCCAGTAGGAACGACCCTAATATGTGGAGACTCTATTTTGATAAGGGATTAACAAAAAAAAAATGCATAAGCTTAGAAAAGTAAAAGCAAGAGTATTTTGTGGTGCTACCATTGAAGACATGCATTTTAACCTAGTTCCACTTTTGAAAAAAGAACCTTCAAAAGTTATCCTGCAAATTGGAACAAGTAATTGTACAAATGATTCATTTGAATCTGCTTTAGCAAAATTAAAAGATCTTGTTTCTTTCATTTCAAAATCCAACACTTTCCAATAAATCAATTTTTATATCCAGGTTATAAAACGCCTTATTGGCTTGATATCTCTCAACATAGTGGAGGTCTTCTTGTATACATAAATGAAAATATAATTTCTAAAAGATTAGCTAAAAAGGATTTCCCCAGTGACATTCAATTACCACTTTTGAAATTAAATTAAGAATGTGGAAATGGCTCATCATAGCCACTTATAAACCCCCAAATCAGAATTATGAGTATTTCTTAAATCACCTTAAAGGAGTGCTTGATTTTAATTTGCAATCATATCTTGATTTTATTCTAAAAGGAGATTTTAACATACAACCTTCAAAAAAAAAAATGAAGGAATTCCTTCAACTATATCAATGTACTAATTTAACTAAACAACTGACTTGTTTTAAATGGGTCAATAACCCTTCCTGTAAAGATCTTATCCTTACTAACAGAAAGCTGAGCTTCCAACATTCAAATACCTTTAGTACAGGTGTGAGTGATCATCACCATTTAATATACGCCATGATAAGATCTATTTTTTGTTACCACCTAAAAAACTTATATATATAGATTGTTTAAAGATTTCTCAAGTGAGATTTTTGCAAAAATATTCCATTTCAATTTGAAATCTTGTTATAATATTGGTACTTTTAATGAGATATTCATTATATAAAAAATGTTTAGTTGATAAATCAGATTTTTCAGCTCTAAAGTACAAAAAAACAAAGAAACTTGGTGGGTAAGCTAAACCGTAAAAATAAGAAGACGTACTTTAAGCAAATCAATACACTTTCAACTTCAAATATTTCTCTGGAAGCTAAGACTTTCTTTTCAGACAAGTCTACAAATTCTAAAGAGCATATCACTCTGACTGAAAATGGCAACATTATCTCAGAAAGTTCTTTGTTGACAAATATTTTTAATAACTATTTTATAAATGTTGCATTGCCATCAAGTATGACTGACCATATTAAGTGGTCTTTTTCTTCTTGCACTTCAGACCCAGTTGAGTCAGCTATTAAAAAGTATGTTGACCATTCTAGTATAATAAACATTAAGAATAAATTCAAAATGAATGTACATAATTTCAAGTTCCATTGTATTACACCTGATAATCTTACAAAAATTATAGAGTGTATGAACAACAACAAAAAAAAACAAGTGGTGAAATACCAGCTTTTATGTTAAAATCTTATTTAATACACTTTAGGGATAGTCTTACAGATTGCATCAATAATAGCATCTTAGATGGGACATTTCCATCATTTCTAAAAATAACGAATGATTTACTGTGTCTTAAGAAAAACTACCCAACAGATAAGGATAACTATTACCCCATAAGTATTCTGCCTGCTCTCTTTAAAGTTTTTGAAATGATTGTTTATGAACAGATTTTGTTATTTGTGGAGCCAAAATTTGACAAACTTTTGTGTGGTTTTTATAGAGGTTATAGTACTCAGCATACACTTATTTTTTTACTTTATAAGTGGCATGAATGCATTAACAATGGAGGTATTGTTGGAACATTATTAATGGATCTATGTAAAACATATGATTTCATTCCGCATGATCTACTTATTGCTGAATTACAGGCGTATGGTTTCTCTAAAGAAAGCCTTAAACTTCTGATATTGTATATTAGTGGTCGTAAACAAAGGGTAAGGATAGGACCTTCTGTTTCTAATTGGGTTGATATTTTATTGGGAGTGCCTCAAGGTTCCATCCTTGGCCCCATCATCTTTAATATCTTTATAAATGATATATTCTTATTTATTAAAGATACTGAATTGTGCAACTTTGCAGATGATAATACACTGTATGTCTGTGATTACAGCTAAGAAAAGGTTATTTTTCGATTGCAAAAAGAAGCAACTAATACCATTGCCTGGTTTAAGTTATACTCGATGGTTGCCAACCCTGATAAATTTCAATTACATTTAGTTGTTTAATTAAACACAAAAAAACAATACCTGATAGGGTGAAACTGGATGTTTTGTTCTAAATACTATGACAACCTTATATAAAGAATTCATAAAAAAGCTCTTTGTATTGTCCATAAAAGGTTTGACTTATCTCTTGATGAATTGTTAAGCTTTGATAATGCACATAATCTTAACATTATTTGCATTCAATAAAATATTAATATTATAATTTTTCTAATTAGCAAAATAACAGCATAGTATTTAGTGGTAAATATTGTTAGGAAAGATATGAGATAAAAAAATTCATTAACTGTAGGCACAAATTATTATATTATTTAAAGTGTTATTATAAATTAATTATTTAATATAAAACATAATATTAACATTATTTGCATGCAAATGTTTAAAAATCATAATTTTTCAAATTAGTGAAATAGTCGCTTAGTGTTTACAGTGGTTAAGAGGAGCAGCTGGATATGGTTACGATTTCGAGTCCTCCATAGATAAATTGCTAAATAGATAAGTTGATAGATAAATTAGATAAATTCTTCTTAACTTTTTTGAATCCTTTATACAGAATTTTTTTTTTTTATTGATGTTTTTTTAAAGTTTTTTTTCGAAGTAATTTTATGTTTTTTAACTACTTTTGTTGTTTATCTTTTTGCTCCTAAAGTTTTATAGAATATATGCATCAATACGTACATAAATCGACTGTTAAACCGTAGTCACAGAAAAGTGTACATACATTAAATGACTTAAATGGGGATAGGGATAGTACAAACATCGACTCAGGATTTAAATTTAAAATTATTTTTTTAAATTCTTCTTCAAAATTCTTTTATATTTAAATCTTATTTAAACAAAGTTTATAAATTTTTATAAAAAAATATTAAAATTAATTTAACTAGATTTATAGTCAAAACAATTAATAATAACTATACGCGTACAAATAAAGAAAAATTAGTTCTACAAGGGTACAAATAATGCATAACCTAACTAAATATAGAATAGATAAATTGATGGACGATAATTTTACTGTCTTACTTATTGGATGACAAAAAGTTATTTTTAAATGTTTCCAGAAATCTATTTGGATATCCAGGAAAAATAAAATTTTAAAGAAATATTTAGAATTCCAGAAAATCTGGAAAAAGATTTTAAATTATAGTTCTAAGATTTCAAAAAATATGAACTACGAAGTTTGCTTTGTTTATCTCAATGTTGAATTTCAATAATAAAAATTGGAAAAAAAAAGCTGACAAAAAGTTATTTTTAAATGTTTCCAGAAATCTATTTGGATATCCAGGAAAAATAAAATTTTAAAGAAATATCTAGAATTCCAGAAAATCTGGAAAAAGATTTAAAATTATAGTTCTAAGATGCGGTAGTGGTGTAGTGGTAGAGCGCTCGCTTCATAAACGAGTGGTTCCGAGTTCGATCCCCACCACGTCCCTGGTAGTACCGCGCTTAACTCGTTTCTCCGCGCAGCGGCCTTGTTCGTCAAGGTTCGTATTTCGGAGTTATAGAGTTGAGAGAGGGTTATAGCCACAAAATAAGTAGCCTCCTCGTCTGTAGTGGCCTTCTCGGCCTTGAGGAGGTGAAGTAAAATAAAAAAAAAAAAAAAAAAAAGATTTTAAAAATACGAACTACGAAGTTTGCTTTGTTTATCTCAATGTTGAATTTCAATAATAAAAATTGGAAAAAAAGAGCTGCAAATGAACCTTTTGTTCATTTGCATTTCGATGTTCTTCAAAAAAATTATAAAGCTTTAAAATTATTAATTAAAAAAAAAAAAAAAAGAAATTAAAACTTCACAAAACTGGTTTTAGACTGCAAAATAAAAAACACATGTGTTGTTAGATAAACAAAATTTTCTAGTTTTAACATTAATTTTAAGTACATAAAATTATATTTATCAATTTTATATTTTCTTTAACATTTAATTCTTGTTTTACCTTTATATACATAGCACTCCTTTAGATCTGTATAGCATTCTTTACCCAAATATCTTGTTCTGTTAATAAACCCATATCCACTGGATGTGTTGCATTTTGACCAACTGCTCCATTGTAACAACGAACCTACAGTTATATATTAAACTGAATAATTTATACAAATATTAGTTTTTAGTAGAAAGAAACAAAAAATCAAAAATTGCTTGTTAATACAGTAACTAATAAAGTTAAAACCTTTTTTAATACAAGTCTTTCTAATAGAAATATTGCTTAATATTTAGTATTATAGACTTAATACATGCTAAAACAGAGTTAATACATGCTAATACAAAGGTAAAAAAGTTAATATTTAGTAATACGGAGGTAACAATGTTAATATTAATTAAAAACATTTTAGTGATACAGAGGTAACAAAGTTAATATTTAGTAATAGAGAGATAACAATCTTAATGCATACTAATACAGAAGTAACTTCTACTTATAGAAATTATAACTTTTTTCAAGTATTTTTAAAGCAATATTTTTGAAGCAGTATTTTTGAACCACTTTTTTCAAGTATTTTTTAAGCAATACTGATATACCAATATTAAATAAGTATTACTTTTAAAATTAAAATAACTAATAAAATAATAAAAAAAACTAATGAAAAACTAAATGCAAAAAGATTGTTCAATTGTTTGATTATTTATTAAAAGTAAAAAGAGATTTTTGTTTTTTTAAAACAAAAATCTCTTTTTACTATCTTTTAACAAATGTTTTTTTTACAAAAAAAACATTTGTTAAAAAATAGTGCTTTTTAAAAAGTAAAAATTATAGAAGTTATTAGTTGGTAATTGAATGATCTTCAAGAAATTATTTGGCATTTTGCATTAATTTTATAAATAATTTTGTATTGATTAGTATATCTGTTTTATTGACAGTTATACAGTCAGCAAAATTCAGGTCGGCATTCGGCAATGCTGACGCAAAAGCTGACCTATCTTTGCTTTAGGACGGCATACAACTGCCGACCTGAATATTCTAAAGTGTTGACATGCAAATTGAAATACATGTAAAAAATATCTAATATTCATTAAATATTATTTTATAATTTTTTTATTGTAATTACTTGCTTTTCAATTTTGACATGTTTTATTAAAACAAATATTCATTCATTTTTTTTCAATTCATTTTTTCTTTTTTTCTCAAATTTATTCAAGCATAGCAAAGTTAAAAAAATAAATAATAAATGCCTGTTATTCTCACGCTTTTTAAGTGCAATTATTATTTTATTAGGATATAAAAATCTAATTTTAATTTATTTTTTTCCTTAAAACCATGTAACTAATTAAATAATTTACATGTTTACGGTTTTTTTAGAATTATTTAAGATCAGAAAGTATATAAGGAAAGTTTAGCCTTTTTGTAGTTATGTTAGAAACATGCGGAGAAGAAACATTAGTTACAAAACTTTATTTTAATTTGATAAAAGTTTAGGCTTCTTAAGCCTAAACTTTTATCAAATTAAAATAAAGTTTAGGCAATTAAATTGCAACAGACACAACAGTAATACAGTAAGCTAACTCAAAACGATGTTTATATATAAGAAAAAAATCTATTTTTAGTATTTTTAACTTTTGTTTTCCCTCCATCAATTTACATATAGTTACACGTTCATACTATACTACAATAAAATATTAAAAATCACCACCCCTACTAATGGAGAAATAAATGCTAATTTCTTGCAAAAGTTAATTTTGTTAAACAATTTGCTGTTTTAAACAAAATCTTCGCCTACAGCACATAAACTAAATTTGTATTTCTAAACAACGTTCTTTCTATGAGCAATCTAAAAAACCAATCAAAATATTATAAATAAACTATGACCATTTTTTTTGTAATAAAAAATAACTTCAAAACTAAAAAATCAATTATTCATAAATTTGCTATATACTTAATTTACTATTCAAAATTTAATTGCTACATTCTTTAAAATATTATTGTCTGAAGCTATCAATTAATCATTACCCCTATTGTAACAGAAAGCAAAAAATCCTTTTTTTTTTGCTGACCTGACGTCGGCTATGGTCGGCACGCTTGAACCGACCTGAAATCTTTCGATTTTCGCTGACTGGTTATATTCATGCGATTAAATGAGATCTGAGTTCTATTGTTTGAACTTTATTAGGTTTTATTTATGATGTTTGTAAATAGACAATAGAAATAAATAGATTTAATATATTAATATAGATAATTTCATTTAAAATAAACATTCTTCATACTTGTACCTTAATAGGTGCAATTTACTCCATAATACCTCCCCTCCCCCTGTATCTATACTAAAAATTAATCATTTAAAATATATATATAGGTTATTAAGGGGTCATCCATAAAGTACGTACGCGGAAAATTTTGAAAAATTGATCTCTCCCCCTTCCACTGTTGCCATGCATACTTTTTAGTTCCCTCACTCCTTTGAAAAATAAGTACGCTTTTGAAGTACCTCTCCCCCTCCCCCTTCTCTTTTCTCTTTATGAGTTAAAAAGTTAAAATTTATTAAAAAAAAAAAAAGCATTGTTTAAGAAATTTAAACATTAGGGATCGTCCATAAAATACAACGGCTTGAGTAAAATACTTTGTTCAATACTTTTCAAAAACAATATGAAGTATAAAAAGAATTTTGGAATTTCTTCATATTTCAATTTTTAATTAATTAGTGCGACATCAGTCTTACTAAAGCTAACAAGTTTAAAAGCTAAAGTATTGTTAAACTTTTAATATTAATTTTTGAAACTGTTATGTAAATAATATTTTTTTAAATTTTTTAAACTTTATTTTGTAAAAAATGTTTTTTACAAAAGACACTACAAATTATTTTAAAACTAAAAAAATAACCCCTGTTTGCATTTACTGTTACTTATAAATTTAAGTTGTGCTTTGAATAGTCAGTTAAACATTAGTTTGAAGGTTTTAAATTATTAAAATGAATAATAGTGAAAAGTACAAAATAATTTACCAACAAGTAGCAATAACTATGCAACAAAAAAGTAAACAGGAGCAACAGAAAGAAGCTTATAAATTGTGGTATAAAGTTAGGCATAAAAATTGATGTATGAATCAGTTTTAAAAGACCTCACAAAAAAACAAACAATGGAAAGTAAAAATTGATGTCTTTTTGGTCTAATGTTAAAACATCAAACAATCAATCTATTGCAGTGAAGCTTCCTCTCATAAACAAAATATCAGATGAGGGACCATGAGCTTTGTTAACATTCGATGAAGCAGACAAAATAGATTTTAAAATCAATAAAACACTAGCTACTTCTTCTAAATTTGATATTCTAAAAAGTCAAAAATCACAAACGCAAGTATCAATTGATCAGCCGACAAAATCTCATACTCCACAACAAGAGAAAATTCTAACTGAAATTTCGCAGTTACAATAGCAGTTGTTGAAATTGGTAAATGTGCGTCATGCTGGATTGATAACAGATGAACTTAAAATAAAATCATTTTTTTTAGAATAAACAAACAAAAATTAAACCAACCTATCTTAAAAAAATGAAACGTGAGGCAATCTGTCAAAGACAATGCAGAGCAAGTTTGAAACAAAAACTTAATGGTATTGTTAATGAAACGCCCTAATTAAAATAAAAACTTTCTAAATTTTATAGAGAAAAAATTGGTAGACCAGCTGTAATTGAAGATCTCGTAAATACCATCCTTAACATTACATCAATAGACGCTGCTACTAGCAATCGCCAAAGATCGCAGGAGCTACGTTCATTAAAAAAAATAAAAAACTGGGTTATTGTTTATTGCGATCTGCAACTTATTCAAGACTGATGTCTAAGCAATCAAACACACTTGAGGAAATCAACATTAAAGCAGTTCCTGTGAAATTGATCAGGACTGTTAATACAGCTCATGATATGCATATCGATGCTGGATTTACATTTGCTTGCATGCAATACAAGGATGAAATTTGTTTAATGTTTGGTCCAAATTCATACTTTTATTTAAGACAAAGATAAAGTACCATTAGTATATTAATTAACAGCTACAACAAAACAATCACCAATTTTGATGCATCTTGATTATCAAGTATGTTTGCCTGATCATGATTTTTTAGTGGCTTTCAGATTTAAGCTTATACCATCTCTTTATGCACCTTGTATTATTGATCAAAACTAATTTTCTGACGCAGTGTCATATTGTGGACCAACGTATATTGCTATTAGATCTGCTATTAGATGAAGAATGATAGCAGCACGGCTTTTACATGGCTGTGATTTGGAGCGTCTTGTTTCAATTGAAAATGTTAAGCTTCATATTTGTACTCCAGAAGGTCATGTAAAAGCTATATTTGTTGCTGCATATGATGGAGACCCTGATGAAAATCCAAGGTTTACCAAACCATTACAAGTTGCAATTGCAAGATTTATTAAATGGGATTTGGATGTCTATCTAACAGGAACTTGTGCACCTCATTATTAAATGTAAATAAGGTTGAACGGGGTATAGCTCCGATGAGTGGAAAGTTAGCATGATTGACTTTGCCACATGATCATTTTGGGACATATCTAAATGCATCTGGAAAAATAATTAACGTCGATTTAGAAAATTTTTTTTTGCTAAAGCTGCAGAAACTCTAGCTAAGGTATGGTTGGGTATAAAAATTGATAACTATTCTGTTTGTGCTGAATATGTTTAACCTTCCCAACTGTCACCAATACCAAAGCAAGGTTAAAAAAGATTACAAATCATGTAAGACAAAGTCAATATTTTTTAATGATCATTAAGGTGATGTTCCGAATTGCTGTAAATTTGGCAAAGTTCCTGGAAAAAATATTTTCCTCAAAGTTTTTTACCAGGTCCAGTTGTAATGCTGTTTTTACAAGGAATTTTTATTCCTGAGCCAAAAGTAACACAAAATATTCTTAAATCTTACTTTTCTTCTCTTGTGCAGCCCATGGGCTATATAGGTTCAAAAATTTCAATGGAAACTTCCTTTGATTTGAACTGCCGATCAATTTCACAACAAAAAATTGATCAAAGAACTTACAAAACCTGCAAAATTTATCACGCTTCTAAAGCAAGTGTTAAGCATCAAAAATGCGTGTTTAGAAACATAATCAACACTACCTCTGAGGAAAATAAAAATGATGATGAAAAAAATGATACTCATCATTTAACAGTAAATGAAAGTAATTCTGATCAAATTCATGTCATCGAAAACATATTTGATTGGATAAAATCACCATTTGATTTAGATCACCAACAATTTAAATTAATTGATTAATGAAGACTATATTAATAATCTTTTTTATAAAATATTAAAACGATGTTTTGTAACCTAAAAAGATAACAGTTTTTTTTTTAATTTTTGATTGCTTAAAAAATTTAATTTTTTTAATATTAAACAATCAAGTAAAATACACTGACTATAGCAACATAAACATAATAAAAGTAATTCATTCAAAAAATAACAATAAAATTACATTAATGAAAACTGAGTAAGTTAAGGTTCCCATCAACTATTTTATTGAGCATTTAAATTTTTTTTTTCTTTCAATATGTTGACTTTGAATAAGTAAATAAATTAAAAGTGAACCACAATTTTCATTTGGAATTTATTAAACTATTTTTTCCACTAAATTTGCTACTTTAAACAAAGTAGAAAATGAAGATATGAATTTAAAGAACAAGTAAACAGTCAAAAAAAGAAAGAATTAAAAAAAGGTTTAAAGCAAGTCAGGAAAACATAAAGAAGGGAGAGAATCCCAAAGTATTGATATTCAAGAAAAAAAAATTAAATCAATAAAGATATGTAAAATTAATTTTATTAGGCATAAAGGAACAGTTATAGTAACAGGATGAGAATGAATGACAAGTTGAATCATTGTACTTTATAACATTTGTTAATTTTTTACCAAATAAAAAAAGCTTAATTATTAGATCAAAAACATTAACTTAAAATTTTAAACTTAATTGTGACTTTACTCTGAAACTTAAAATCAAACTTGAAAAAAATACTTTTTTATTAATTTATATTTTAGTTTTTTATTGTTAGTTATCTTTCTAAAATTAAAGTTAGATATAATGATTAAAAAAAGTAAAAGCAATAAAATAAAAAAAATAAATAAAAAGAGAAAAAAAGACAGTTGAATTTTCTGAATATAGATTTGTCTAAATCTATTTTTAAAATGTCCAAAAAAATAACTGCTTAAAACTATTAAATAAGAACATTACTTGATAAAACTGCTTGATTGTTTGCAACATAAAGGTTTTTTATTGAGCCATTTTGAGAAACATTCCATGGGTTCGAAGCATATATTATAACATTTTTAAAACTTTGAACTTGTGTGTTGATTTTAGATAAAACGTATGTGTTGTTGACACTAATTCCATACAAATAACTTCCATTTAAAAGTATTTGACTGATTTCAATTTTTGACCATTGATTTAATGGAAGTGCATTATAGCGAAATATGAAATCAGCACCGTTGATCAGAGCTGAAACTTGAAGAACTCCAAGATTATCAAGCCAGACTCCAAGATAACCATTTTTAATGCTATCATTGGTGAAATGAATAATACTGCTTAAACTATTGTTAAATGAATAAGGAATGAAATCAAATGAAATTAAAAACTCTGTATCCAGTATTGGCATTGTAGTGATATATTTTCCTTTCTGTAATGGAGCTGGGATATCATTTATTATATAGTTAACCATCTTACATGTATCTAAAAGATATTTATATTAATTTATGAATGTATTTTGTATGTATGTATGTATTTTGTATGTATGTATGTATTTTGTATGTATGTATGTAAAATACATACATACATACATACATACATACATACATACATACATACATACATACATACATACATACATACATACATACATACATACATACATACATACATGAATACATGCATACATGGATACATAATCTTTTTTAACACTTTATTATAAAGCCATAATTTTTAATCAAAGTCGTAATTTGAAATCAAAAAGTCAATTTAATTTCATTTAAAAGTTAAAAAAATGCTGAAGTGCATTAAGTTTTATTGTCTTTTAAATAACCGCAATAATAATGACTAGAAAATACTTTTAATTAATAGTATTTTTCTTTTTGTTTTTTTATCATTTAATAATATTTTTAAAACATGTGAGTGTTGCTACATAGACTGACGAATAGTGAAAACATGTGAGAAGTGTTGCTTTTTTTTAATGTAAAGCATGTGCAATAAAAAAAAGTCTTATAAGATATGAATTTTGTTAACACCATTTTAAATAACTTTTAAATGTCACCTAAAGGTTAAAAATGTTAAAAACAATTTTAAAAAAAATTTACGACTATAACAATTTTAATGACTATACTTTTATACTTTAGTGTATATATACATACAAATTTTGTGCAGCATTTTTTTTTTTGCATTTGATATTTCAGAAAAAGAAAAAACAAAGAGTAATGAAAAATAGCAAATCATTTTTCATAATAATGTCTTTCATACTTAAATACCATTGTAAGCCCAACCATAAAACCCCTTAGTTATATAATGATTAAAGCCTCAACTTATATTTTTATTATGATGTCTTCAGTGTTGGTCTAATGTAGCATTTATCAAAATATAATTCAAGTTGTGAAAATCACATGGTTTTTTATTCTACATTTTTTAGCATATTTTTGTTAAAATAAAAATGGCTCCCACAACCAGTCTTTTCCTTATTATATTTACTCAATATGAATGTATTTAGGCAATAACCACTTTTAGCCAAGCATATTTTGTGTTTTTTGTCAGAAACAATATTAAAAAAAAAGCTTTCAGACTTGTACAGCTTTTTATAAAGACTATTTTTTTTTAGAGAATTACAAGGTTTTAATTACTTCATTAAAACCTGGTAAACTTTATTCTTTATTCGAAATGTGATGCAATAATAAAAATTACAGAATTGATGCAACATGTGCAGTAGAACACAAATGTAATGCAATAATAAAAATTAGATTGTGATATTGATGAATCAAAATAACTTATATTGCAAAAAAAAAAAAAAAAAGCTTCACTTCATAGTTGTTTTTAAATTAGGTTATGCAGATATGGGCTGGTAAATTATACTAGGGCTGGTATAAACTTACTCATACCAGTATCAGTTTGACTGTCTAAAATGTTTTATCCTTAATAACCCTTTTAACAATAAAAAATAACAATAAAATGAATTGATAAATAAATAAAAATAAATAAAAGTAAATAAAAAGCACTTCAACTCTTCCCAATTGTTAAAAAAAAAAATTAAAACTTGATTTGCTTTGATTCGGAATTATTTTTAAATTATTGTGCTTAAAGAAAAATCGAGCTAATACAAGATTATATAGAAACAATAATAATCTTGTAATCAAATTAAGATCATAGGCAAAATATCATTAAGGAAGGAAGCATAAATTTCATATACTTTTCCACGGTGCTTAGTGATAAGACCGTAAGGACTTCTTGGGGCACTTAAAATTGAAAAAAAAATATATATATATCATATCATATGCTTGTTGCAAAACATTTGTAAATTTGTGAGTGTTTTCCTTAACAGCTACAAATTTAAGCACCTAGTTTAATTAAAAGAAGTCTTTAACATTGCAATTTGTTTTCTCTCTTTGAAAGTTGAGTAATTTATTACATAATTGTGTGAAAATTGAAGATTGTAATAACTCATATTTAATTAAGATAACCCAGAGATAACTCTGTAACTAAAGCATTAAAAAATGTTGAAAAAATCAAAATTCTTGCAGAATTTTAAACTTTACATCTAGCAAAGTTACTAACTTTAGAATTTTTTTTTATGTATATGCTACGCCAATTTTGAAAAAGAAAATATTTGCAAAAATTTGTGAAAATTTTGCAGATTTCACAAATTCGGCATGGTTGTTGCCCTTGGTTATATGTGAAATATTATTATATTATGAAAGATATTATAATAATACATAAAGCCAATATATTAAGTATCTTATAGCCTGCTGTTGCAAAGGAGTGCTGCTACATCAAAAGGAAATGACTGAGATCCCATCCCTGACAAAATTATAAAATTTAGCAGGGGTTGATAGCCATGGCGAGAAAAAAATTTATATTTCTTTATATATTAAAATTTTATAATCACATTTTATTATTAAATACTGACATACATTTATATATTTTAAACTTTAATTAACCTTTAGTTACTTTAAAATAGAAAATAAGTTTAAATACATAAAAACAGTAAACTGAAGACTTCAAAAGTTGTAAGTTGTATAAAAAAGGAAACATAAAGATAGGTAAGAGTTATAACATTATTTTGATGTGCAAGGAAAAAAACTGGATTAATTATTTAAAAGCTTTTAAAACATGAAGGAAAATATATAGTAAATGAATGCAATTTGTTAAATTTAAACTTGTTAGATGAATGTCAGGTCAGTTTATCCTGCTGTTGGTAATATGTAACACAGTACAATCTGCTTCATGTCCTGCTGCCTTGTAGGCTACATTTTTTTAGGCAAAAGCTAGGAGAAGCCAACTCCGACTTAAAACAACCCCTATTTTGGGTTCTTGGTTGAGTAAAGGCTAGAGATGATGTCTTGATAAAAATATTCATCTTGGGCAGATGTTAAATGCATCAGCCTACTGTCTTGTAGAAGGCCTCCTAGGCAAAGACTTAAAAGGTAAACAGGTTCTATTTGTTAACCAGCCTCACACCCCTTCTTCATCTATTAGGCTGCCACAGATGTATTTTTAATACATTGTTTCAAGTTTAGGATAATGAATGCTGGATCTTTATGACTCAATGCATGGGGTTTGCTTGTGTCTCTGTTTTAATGACTAGGCAACTCATTCTATTATCTCATAATGAGGGTACAGCTCTAAAATTCAGTTATATGGTTCTGAGGCCGGCTGGTAGTCTTTAACTCTGTGGTAGCTCTAAGAGAGGCTGATTCCATCAACAGCTGAAAAATATCTAAGTATTAACAGTGCCATGTTGCACATGGATGGTGTCCCTGTTCATAATTTTGGTATGCATTGTCAAGGCCACATATGGAGCCCTTTATTACGGTTTAGGGTTTATTATTAGTAATGAGGCCATTGCTTGGGCTATTAAACAGTGTGTCTATGCTTTGAGTGAAGTTCTTTAACAAATTTAAAAATGAATAAAGTACCAAAAACAAATAAAAAACAAAAAACCATTGTCAACACCAATTTCTGTAATCCTATCATTCACTAATATTCATGGTTTTCAAAGTAACTTATCTTCTGTTGAGTCTTATCTCTTGCAAAGTTTACTAGACCTACTTGCTCTTTGTAAGACAAATTTGAGTTTGGCTGTCTCATCTTGTGATCTTAGTGTTGATGGTTATCTTACTTTGATTCCTAAAAACTCCAATAGTCACATGCTTAGCCTGAGCATTTACATTCGTAAGAAATCAACCATTTGTCTGGAAACTAGGTTTGAATCCATAGACTATTTTTTTATGTGCTTTCGTTTAGCACAACTTTATCACCTTTCTCTTTGCTCTATATCGCTCTCCTTCATCTCAAGGCTGCACTCTTCACTATGTTATTTCTGATCAAATTGACCAAGCCCTCTCTCTTTATCCATCAGTTAATATTGTTGCTGTTAGTGACTTTAATGCTCATACACTGAATGACTTTCTCTAGTGTCAGTGACTCTGCAGGCGTTAAGGCCCACAACTTTTGTCTTTCTCAATCCTAAACTCAAACAGTCAACTTTCCAAATCACTTTCCAGACAAGTGAGTCATTTACCTTCTCTACTCCACTTATCTACTCCAACATATCTTGTTTCTGATCCTAGTCAGTTCTCAGTTTCTACACATTCACCCTTAGGTGCTTCTGATCACGGTTTAAACTCTCTAAAACTATAATCTCATTCTTATTCATCATCTAAATCCCCCTATCATTGTAACCTTAAAGCTGAATGGGACTTTTTCCATGATTTTTTTCGTGATGGCCCTTGGGTAGAAATTTTTCTTCTTCCTGTTGACAAATGTGTTTCTTACATAACTTCGTGAATTCAGGCTGGCATGTTATCTTTAATTCCTCTCAACAATTCCAGGTCAAACCTCACTCTTCTCCATGATTTCCCTTATATTGCGCTGCTGCAATTTAATAAAGAAAATTAGGCTCTCATGACTTTTTCAGAGTCTTTAATAGTATCAATAATAAGGGCAAATCTGTTATTCCACCTCTCTTGAATGGTTCAGAATTTGTCACCTCACCCAAGACAAAGCTGAATTGCTCGCTAAGAACTTTTCATCAATATTATCTCTTGATTCCACTAGTTGCATTCTACCAAATTGAGTGCCAAACAGTTTAAGTGCCAAACAGGTTGATCCATTACTTGACATTCAAATCACTCTAGCTTCTGTATCTAAAGTGATTTCCTGCTTAGACTCTACTACAGTTTGTGGTCTAGACAACATACCTGTTTGTTATGCAAAAATGCACTGTAAACATAGTTGGACTTGCATAATCACATCTTTGTAATGTTGCTTCTCTTTCTCTTTTCTACAAATATTATAATGAGCACCACTCTAAAGAGCTAGCATCTTTTGTGCAATCTATTAAAATTAATTCTTGTGTAACTCGTCATTTAATTAAGTCTCATCCTTTTTCTGTGACTGTTCCTAAGTGCTCCAAAAAATATTATTCCTCTAATTTTTTTTCTCAAACATCAGTTCTTTGGAATTCGCTTCCTTCATCTTGCTTTCCTGATTTATATAATTTGCAATATTTTAAGTCATCTGTCAATCTTTATCTTGCACTACAGTCCTGATCTTTTCTCTTCCAGTAACTTCCACTTCTAATAGTGGTTGCTTGCAGCTTCGTTGGAAGCAAAAATGTTTGAAAAAAAAAAAAAAAAAAAAGCCAGCAAGAATGAGTTTTGGTTTATTGTAATGAAGATGATAGGTCATTTAAACATTGACCATGATAGTATTTGTAGAAAAAAAAAAAAGAAATAAAATCTTACAACAATTGAAAAGTGGCACAAGCTTGGAAAATAAAAGCAGGTCTAATTACATTAACAATGTGCTTTTAGACATTGTCTGAGAGTAAGAGGGTTGTTATTCATCAATATAGGAATGCCAACAATATTGCAATATTTTTTTCCAGTAAATAAATGAGTTTTGTTGTCCAACAAAAACTGTTAATTTTAAGTCCAGAATTTAAATCCATAAGTCACTGCAAGCCTTGAACTGTTACAGAAGAGAGTTCAGAATAAAAATCGGCTGCTTGTTGACAAGAATATAAAGTTAAGTTGTATATAAAATTTTCACAAAGATCATTGCTGTAGATAAGAAATAAAACAGGAACAAAGATACCTTGTGGTACTAATAAAGTTACTTGAAATAAAAAAGAGTGTCGGCCTTCAAGAATAACTTTACTACTGCAGTTAGCAAGAAATAATTTAATAACATCAAAACTTTTATATAAAGAAACTAATAACAGATTGAAGGTCAAAGTATTTTCAAGAGTTTTGAAAAATTGGAACAACATATTTAGCAGTTATTAAAAGTTTAGCGAGTTCTGGAGAACACTTTTTAAAGACTTAAAATCTATTTTGGAGCACAAACTGTAGAAGTGTTTAATTGAGAATTAACTTTAGCATTGAAAGCCAGAGTGATTTGGATCAGTCAATTGATGTTGCAGCACTCCTTTAAGGCAGCAAGTTATAAGATAATCAACATATGGACTTATTATAAATATATATATTTATCAACCCTCGAAATTAGTGAAAAATGATGTTGGCAATAATTTGCTGAGCTTAATCTTTTAGAGGTCAGCATCAGGCCAGCAAAAAAAATTTTACTCAAAAGTCTTACCATAAAATATTGAAATGAGGTCAACAAATTATTGCCGACCTCATTTCAATGTATATATATATATATATATATATAATATATATATATATATATATATATATATATATATATATATATATATATATATATATACATATATATATATATATATACATATATATATATATATATATACATATATATATATATATATATATATATATATATATATATATATATATATATATATATATATATATATATATATATATATATATATATATATATATATATATATATATATATATATATATATATATATATATATATATATATATATATATATATATATAAATTAGTAGAAAATCACTTTGCAAAATTTTTTCATTTAACACTGTGTTTCATCAATAAAGACTCATCAGAAATGAATGATCAAATTAGTAAAACTTCAATTTATACCAAAAATTAAATTACAGGAGGTTGCATGTCTCAACTACTGTAATTTTTCACACATTTGTGTAATTTGCTGATTTAGAACTTGTGTAATTTGCTGTTTTAGAATTTTTTAGAAATGATTACTTAAGGTTTTTAAAAAAATTTATTTTTATAGATTTAATGTAACTATTTGAGCTCACTTATTTTTATAGTTTTTTAGGAGAAGCGTATTTTTGTGCATACATTTAAAAAACAATTCTGATTTTTTGTTTAATAAATATTTTTGGTTTGCATGTGTAATTATTACAAACTTTTCTTGTAGACATAATATGCATTTTTTGGAAATATTGTTATATGCAGGCGCTGTTTTAAGGATGGATTAATTCAGTATAAAATCATCAATATTTTTATCTTTTAGTTCCTATAGATATTTTGACAGCATGGTGTCTTTTCAATACTTTTTTTTTTTTTAAATTGCTTGTGATTGGCAAAACGTTTTTTCCATTCAACCTCTGTAATATATTGTTTATCAGGTACATTCTTAGAGGAAACAGCACATTTATATATCACATTTTTTGATAAGCAGCTTCCACTCATTTGACAATTGTTTTTTTGTTTACAATTACAATTTTCTGTAGTTTTTTCATTTTGGATTTCTTTTTCGTTTAACAAAGAATTGTTGTGAACTTTTATAATTCTTTCCATATTTTTTGTGCAACTGTAGCTAACTTTAATTGTATTTCGATTGAAAATTTTATGTAATTTGTTAGAGGGCGGGAAATGCTTATTGATTAATTTTAAAAACACTTTTCCTATGTTAGTGGAAACATTTTTGCTATTTGGGGGGTTAAACCAAAGTACATTTCTAGTTCTATTTTGCTTTTTTGTATTCTTTTTTTCAGGGTCAAATTTTTATTCAAAATTTTCAAAACCACTTTTTTTAAGGGCATCTTCAAATATTTGTTTGGAGGAATTAAATACATTTTCATTAGAGGAGTTTTGGTTAAGCCTGTTATTAATTGAAATAGGGATTTGTTTTAGAATTTGGGGTGGATGATTTGAGTTAATATTAATAAACAATAATTCATCGTTTGGTTTTTTTAAAGGCTTATATGAATTTTCAGAGAGATTAAATGTGACATCAAGAAAGTTCACAACTTTTTTATGTTTATTTCGATTTGAAAGTCAATATATTTAAAAAATATTATAATATCTTTTCTAATTTTATCAAGCTGTGGACCAGATTTTTTACACATTACTATTAAACCATCGTCGCGATAAAGACCTAAATCATTTATATTGATTATTTTACTTAATAAATCTAAAATATATATTCCAACAGATTCACAAATTTCTGCTCTGTCATAATGGCCCATTGTTACATCAAAGCAGTCATGTATGTTTTTCTTTTTCCAAGTTTCCTTATTAAAATAAAGTTTTTCTGCAATGTTTTATTATACGAATTGTTTCTTCAGGAATAACTGTATAGCTTTTTGCGAATTCAATTGTTTTATCTAAAATTTCTGCAGTTATTGAGCAATAAAAATCATTAATGTCAAATTAAATAAATGTACAGTCATTTTTATTTTCGATTATGGAGAACCAATTTATAACATCAGTGGTATTTTTCCACTGTCGCAAATTTAATTTATTTCTAAGAATATTATTAATTTTGTCCAATTTAATTTTGCTTACATGTCTAATCTCACTTTTTAAAGGAACCAATAACCTACAAGGAAGTTTGTTTTGAAAATTTAGTTTATGGTCTTTTAATGTTTTGGCAGGAGCTTGGGCAGGAGCAGTTGATTCGATTCTGTTATCAAGGTTTATTTTCTTAGCAATACTTTGTGCTTCTAAATTAATTGCGTTTTCCAAATTTTTAGGGGCTTTCTCATAGGAACTAGTAATATTGTCGCGTAAATGTTTTTCATAGTTTTCTGTTGTGAGTTGGTAAATGTTATTTGTTTTATCAGCAAAAACCAAAATATTAGAGTTTAATTTAATTTTTTTAACATCTAACTTTAATTTTGTTTGAAATTTATTTTTTATAGGGCGAAACTTTATTGTTTTAATTAAATGCAATAGGTCATTTTCAAAATTTTCCAAAGCAGATATGAAAGATGGAGTATTTTTTGTTTTAAATCCATGTATATATATAGATATAAGTAAATATATACACATATATAGTCTGTTTACATAACAAACAAGGTTTTATAAAAATTATTTAAATCATAAGGATTGATCTATTTTCTTATGATTCAAGAATTTCAACTAGTTTTTTGTTTCTATGACTACATAAATATTTATACACTTTTACCTTTATATACATAACATTCCTTTAGTTCCGTATGGCATGCGTTACCCAAATATCTTGTTCTGTTATTAAATCCATATCCACTGGATGTATTGCAACTTGACCAGTTGCTCCATTGTAACAAAGAACCTACAGTAACAAGTTAATCAAATCAATTGTAACAAAGAACCTACAGTAACAAGTAATCAAATCATTTCAGTTTAACTTATAGTTTAGTTAATAAATTACAACCAAAACAATAAATAAAAAAGCATGTTTAAAAATATAAAAACTAGTAAAAAATTAAAATTATAAAAAAAAAATTAGATTATTTCTAAAACGATCTTTAAAATAATTTTGATATCAATCTTATCATCATACATGAACTGTTTTGTTAAACAAAGTTTCATAGCTTTTATATTATTTGTTACAAATATTTATCTATAATAGCAGCAAATAGAAGAAAATTTTTTTTTACTAAACTACAAAAGAAATGTTTATTATTTTCCTTTTTTCAAGTGAGTAACTGATTATTTTATTAAAAACTTTAGAAATTAATACAACAATAATAAGAAAAAAACAACAAATAAAACTGGATGATAAACTAGTCATCTAGGTCATCTAGGTTTTAAATGGGATACTAAAAGCTCTTTTTTTGCCTCACTTACTCATTCAAACATTGATAATAGAATATCAATAATCCAAACTCTTATTCAGTCTGGAACCCACTTTGCTTATTCAAGCTCTATTGTCCAGCTATATAAAACATTCTGGTATTGTACATGCAGTTCTGTTACTTACATATGGTCTTGAACTTTAGGATTATAAAGATGCAAAAGTATGTATTATAGTTATAAAAATGCAAAAGCTTAATGTAAAAGGAGGGAATGCACTTAAGTCATTCTTCAATGTTTTCAAACACAGCAAAAATTATATTCATTCTTTGTTTTACATCCAAGATGTATTAACAATTGTACAGCAAAAAAAGTTAAACTTATTTATTTGCATATTGAGTAATAAAAAAATCTTGGTATTGTAATTTCCAAGTTTAAAAACCAAACCACACCTTTTTCTAGAAGATGCCATAGGTTTACGCATTCGAAATGAACTAAATCTAAAGAACTTAATGCAAAACAAAAAAAAAGTAAATATTAAGGTCTTAAAAATACAATTCCTAAAAAAGATATTCAAAGCTTAAACTATGCAATATATATATATATATATATATATATATATATATATATATATAATATATATATATATATATATATATGTATATTTATTAGTTCATAAACTTATTAAATATCTTTAAAAAAAAACAATAAAACCCAGGTTTTATTGGGTATTTTTAGGTAGGTTTTTTTGTGCAGGTTTTTCAATGCTAACTCTGATATATATATATATATATATATATTAGTGATGTGCCGGGTACCTGGTTCGAACCCGGGGACCCGGCAATTCGGCTATTTTACCGGGTACCCGGTATCAGCCATTTTGTTGCAGTACCCGGCACCGGGTATCTTTAAATTGATTTTTCCTTAAATTTAAACTTTAACCATTAAACTTCTTGATATAAGTCTAAAAATGTTATGTAGTCAATAACCACAAAGTTTTATTAACTTAAAACAATCTCATTTAAAATATTTTTTTTAATACATTTTTGCAAAAAAATTTATACGGATACAAAAACTGTAACGCTAAATGAAATAATTCGGGAATACGAATAAAAAGAATGGGAAAAAAATTTTTAGAATAGCTTCTTTTTATTCTGTTAGAACACAAGATAATTTTTAGCAATTTAGTTTTGAATGAAGCGCTTATAATGCTTTCGAACGCTGATACCACTTTTCATTCGTATCGAACAAAAATCATAAAAGTAGAGGTATAAGGTAAATGCTATACACATTTTTTATATTTTAATTTCGATAATAATTATAACAAAATATTATTTAGGCCCGCCACCAGGAAAGAAAAATAATTTTAAACTAAATATAGTTATTAAAAAACTGTTGCACAACTTTTGAAAAAAGTTAGGTCCTACAACTCAGGCCCCTTACCCTGTATTTCGGGGTTTTGCTAAATGGTACTTCCGCCACATAACTTTTGGTTAGTTAGCGTAAAAAGCGTATTTTGTGTGAATAGTTCAGCGCTAGAGATTTCACAAGATTTTATTCCAACTTTTTAAAAATGGACTCGGTGCCGAGTACCCGGACTCGGACCCAGTTTTTTCAGCCGGGTACTCGTAATCGGAGACTCGGCATAAACTGGTTCCAGCACATCTCTAATATATATATATATATATATATATATATATATATATATATATATATATATATATATATATATATATAATAACTGACTGACAAGATGACTGCATTATAACTTGACTAAAGTAATAAACATACATTTTCAAATTACAGTTATATACAAAAAATAAAATTATTTTGTAAGTAAGGGTATACCTTAAAAAAAAAATTTTTTCATCCTATAAGGTCAAAATAGGCTTAATAAAACTAAAAAATAATTTTTGTTCATTTAACAGGAATATCTGTAAAACTTTAAGGGAAAAAAAAACACATTTCAGAAACTTTTTTAAAAATATATTTTTCTAGTTTAAAAAATTAAACATTTTTGAGTTGCTGCTTCTGGCATATCCCACTTATATACTTCTCCAACAAGAACCTAAGCTACCTTTAACAGGATCCAGTTCTGGGAACCTAATAGTTCAGTAAGCTCTGTTGACCTCATAAAAACTGGTAGCTTTGCTTTTATCATATGAACTACCCGGAAGCATCACACTTGACTAACATTTCCAGCATCTTATTCTTTACCTTCTCTTTAACATCATCATCAACTAGGACCAGTATAACTAACTGTTCTATAAAGTAGCAAGCATGCCACTGCATGCTAATAAGAAGAGCTTGTCCTAGTTTTGGGTAGTAGTCCTATATTCCAAACAATGACATAAAGTAGCCAAGACATTCGAAGTCGACTTGTTTGCCATATAGGCTTTCAAGAACCAGGGTCCATATTATACAAAAACAAATAAAGCTGATGTTATTGCCATTTCTACCTCATTCATCATCTGGGCTACCTTCTCAGTCATCCATCAGGGTCAGCAGATGTAGAGCTGCCATGAATCTTATGAATAAATTATTATTAAATATATAAAATAATGTCAATGCCTTCTTGCAAAACTCTAAGGCATTTCTTGCAATGTTGTACAAGGATAGGGTACAGGGATCCAACCTAATCCAATCATTCCAATCAAACCTAATGATTTCTATCATCTTGTTCACCTCATTTTTGATGCTTGACCAGGCATCAAGAAAGAGATGGCTAAGATTAAATATTTTCATAAAATGGCATATTTTCCGGTATGAATCTTCCTGCATCTTGGTAAATATACCAATTCTGGAACCCCAGAATAAATTTCTTAGATAGATGGGTTTGTAATACTTAGTATGGAGCTTTAGAACTTTAACTTAGTAATAAGAAAAATTATTTTTATGTAAAACAATTTCCTATGTATTGATTAATTTTTTAATTTATGTTTGTATTTGATATATATATTTTTTTTTTGCTGAGTTGCTTATTTCTTATTAACATAATTCAAAATTGCATTTTTTAACCTGACAGCAGCTCCAGAAATAACGAGTTCTTTAAAATCAGCACTGTTTTAAACATCCATCTTTGTTTGTGGCTTTCTTTTGATGACAGCGAATTTTATAAAATACTATGAAATATTAAACTATATAACATACATTCATTTATTCATTTAATTGTCTCAAAAATTTCCAAAACATGTGACCAAAACCAAGTAAGTAAATTTATCTTTTTAATTGACCAACACCAACTTGTTGGTGTTGGTCAATTAAAAAGATAAAAACAACAAAACAAAAAAGTTAGCATGCTTTTTTTAATAAATATGATAATAAATAAAATTTTTTAGTAATGTATTAAGGTACAGATTTAGTTAAAAATAAAATAAGCAAACGATAAGTATTAATGAGCCTTGTTACACATGCAGATGAACCTTATTATACATGTTTTGTGTATTATGAGCACAACTCTATTAATGCTAGAGTTCTTATTTGATGCATGAAAATCATTAAAGTTGTTGTGTTATTTTGGTACAAAACAAAAACATTTGAACAGAAGAAAGTTATTTTGTCTTTCTTACAAAACATTAAAGAAAAAAAAAAAAGCACCATATTTTCGTAAGTTTAAGCATGTTTGTCTCTTAAACTTTTTACGTAAGCATACCCCAACCTGTTTCAAAAAAAAAATGCTTATAAAAACATGCATTAGACCAATATTATTATTCAACTTTGGCATATTTAATAACAACAATAATCAATAAGTTTAATAAGAAAAAAGAAAAGATAAAAAAAAATTTACAAACTAATCCAAAATTGACATGATTTTTTGAAAGACATTTTGTCAGTTACACAGATTGTTCTAGGATACCCCTCTGGTACTCAAAAAAAAGTCAATTAAACTGTCTACAAACGAAAATCAATTTACAGTCTACAAAAAAACATATAAGCTTAAAAGTAAAAAATTAGCCTACACAATATATTTGTTCAAAACAATTAAATAAGAGCATTACTTGATAAAACTGATTGATTGTTGGCAACAAAAACGTTTTTTATTGAGCCATTTTGAGAAACATTCCATGGATTTGAAGCGTATAACACAACATTTTTAAAACTTCGAACTTGTGTGTTGATTCCAGATGCAACATATGTGTCATTTACTTTAATTTTAAATGCATAACTTCCATTTATGAAAATTTGACTGATCTCAATTTTTGACCATTGATTTAATGAAAGTGTCGTATTGGTGTGAAATATGAAGTTAGTGTCATTAATTAGGGTTGAAACTTTAAGTACTCCAAGACCATCAAGCCAGACTCCAGTTGTAACATTATCAGAATCAACAATAAAATGAATAACATTGCTTAAGTTACTATTAAATGAATAAGGAATCAAATCAAAGGAAATTAAAAATTCTGTATCCAGTATTGGCATTTCAGTGATATTTTTTGCTTTTTTTAAAAGAGTTGTAGTATCCTCTATTACATAGATAACCATTTGGCATGTATCTAAAAAACATTATATATATATATATATATATATATATATATATATATATATATATATATATATATATATATATATATATATATATATATATATGTAAATATGTATATGTAAATATGTATATATACATATATATATATATGTATATATATATATATATATGTATATATATATATATATATATATATATATATATATACATATATATGTATATATGTATATATATATATATATATATATATATGTATATATATATATATTTAATATATGTATTTATATGTATATATATATATATGTATATATATATTTATATATAAAAGTATATATATATATATATATAAATAAAAGTATATATATATATATATATATATATATATATATATATATATATATATATATATATATATAATATACATATATATATATATATATATATATATATATATATATATATATATATATATATATATATATATATATATATATGTATATATATATATATATATATATATATATATATATATATATATATATATATATATATATATATATATATATATATATATATATATATATATATAAATATATATATATATATGAATAGGTGAATGTTAAAAGAGAGGAAGTCCAACAATGTAAACTTTTGGAAATTAAAAAAAATCTGTATTTTTCTGCATAGTAAACTTTTGTTAATGGTTTAATAATTTTTTTTCTGCATTTTCTGCAATTTTATTTCTGCATATTAATGTTAATGTGTTTTACCTTCAAAAAAAATTATTAAACCATTAACAAAAATTTAATAAGGGGGAAAATGCATTTTTTTAGGTTCCCAAAAGTTTACATTGTTGGACTCCTGCCTTTTAAAACGATCACCC